AAGATTTTAATAATCACATTACTAAATTTTGATCCCTGAAATCCTTGGTAATACCAATGTTCACTTTGTCTGGTTTTCTTGCAGTCTGCTCCATATATAAAAACTATATAAATAAAAATTGTATCAGAGCCTTCAAATAAAGAGGAAACTAAGGGAGATTATAGTAAATAGGTCAAGCTTTTAGATTGCAGTGGTTTTTTTCTTGCTACCCCCCCCCCAAAAGATAGCACTCTTACTTTAAACAATTGAAAATCAGTTGTTACACAGTTGTAAAAAGTTGTTATCATTTGAGATTTATGGTAAATAAAAAAAATTTTTATATATAGTAAAGACATTTAATAAATAAATTTATAACCAAATGGGCTAGAACAAAAGGCTCTCTGTAATTTTATTATAGAAAACTTGAACAATAAATCTATAAAAAATTTTGTTCAAATTATGAAAAAAAAAGGTTTAAATTTATTCAATTTATTATTAAATTTTACTATAATTCATGTTAAAAAATCCACACATAATAATTTGTTATCAACAGCCACAATACACCACACTCTCTAGAATTATCTTTGTATATGAAACTTCCCTGCAGGACCTCAGAAACTCCTAATTTAGGTTCTAATCAATTTTCACATTTTTAATATTAAGTTTCCTCAAGGGTTTATATAACAAATTTAGCCTGTTAATATTATAACATTTTTTTTAACACTATTTAAATTTACCCACTATTAAAAATTTTTCTTTTTTATTATTACAAAAGGGAATTTAGTTTTTGCGCATCATGTGTAACCATGCACTTTTTTACTAATTGATTTACCCAAATTACCCAAAACATAATAGCGACCTTAAAAAAAATTTATATATATTCATATCATTCTTTGTTGGACATGAAAATTTTTATCTTTAAAAAAGTCTTGGACCCTTTTAATGTACAATAATAATAATAATTTACCCTATCAATAAGGTGACATTTTTGTCTACGTTTTTTACCCTTGGTTTGCTTGGGGACCTCAATTAGAAGTTTCCGGGTCCCTTTCTTCGCATTTTTATATGGTTGGTTCGGTCCAAAGACCTCCTGTTACTGCGCCACGCGCTCAAATTTCGAAAAATTGCGATTTCGTGATTCGTTCAAAAATGCAATAAAATTTTTAAAAAAGAGTTTCACGTGATTTTGGCTAAAAAATTATTTTCTACAACAAATAATTTTTTTGAGAAAATCTCTTTATTACATTAAAACTAAATACATATTCTATCAACTAATAGAGCTATTTTTTAAAAGATAGGACAGAAAATGACTTCTATACTTTTAAAATTTGCCCAAAATTTAGGAGGTCTTTAGACCGAGCCAACTATAATAATAAATTGATCAACATTTAGATAGATCATCGATTAGATTTTTTGGATGTCTTTTAGATGATCTGTACTATGGTCACATTCATTATTGAGGATGTATGTATGTGACCTGTTACAATTTTAACCCAGTGTCTCATATGAGCCAATTGGTTCTTCAAGTGTGTAAATAACGACTATTACTATACAGTAACACGATTATTAACAAACATAATTAATATAAATAAAATAGGTATTATAATTTAAATTATTTTAGGAAAAATTTTTATTTTTTTTGTTTATAAGACTTAAAAAAAAAATGATTTCATCAGAACAAGCTCATTCACCAACTTCACCAATTCCTAAAATTAATATTAAACTTGCTGATAACAATACCAATAAAAACAATAATAAAAACAATAACAATATGAATAAAAGGTCCACATCAAGATCTAGGAGTCCAGGTCCACGACCAAAAAGTCCCTCAGGTGATAACTACAAAATGAATAACAATAACAACAACAACAATAACAACAACAAACTCATGACTTCACCAAAAAGGACCACCTCAAGATCCAGAAGTCCAAGACCAAAAAGTCCTGGTAGTAAAGACGCGGCCTCCTCACCACGATCAAAAAGCCCATTTAGCAAACAGCATAATAGAGCTGATAGTGATAACACACCAGCAAACTTCTCGTCACAAGATGTACGTCAAAATTTAAAGTCGCTAAATCCTTGGCTTGGACTTGTTACTTCAAGTTCTGGCGGTGGTTCTAAAAACCAGAATAGATTAAGTTTGCCACCAGATTTTGATTTAAATCATGTAATACGTGAAAGTAACGAACGTTGGGCAAAACTAAATCTCATACCCATGGAACCGAAAGACAACAGCATGGGCAATTTTTCAAAGACTACAAGTCTTAGAGTCGCACCTATCACCATGCGACCTAAACTTGCAGTAGAAACATTCAACAACATTCCTGGTAGTAAATCGATGCAACGGACCGCTTCTGGACCTTACAATGGAAATAATAACAATTCACCATTGTTGACTGCTGATGGGTTCCCGTTGATACGATCAAGAAGTTACAATTCTGCCGTTGAAGATGTCAATCGATCATCACCTGCTTTTGCCAAAGAAATACTGCCTCTCCAACATTCCTGGTTAGTAATGTTAATTAATGTATAGTGTGCTTGTGTTGTTTGTGAATGTACATTCTGTTTACTTACCTCATTATATAAAACTGTTGATAATTAATTAGGACGATGTATTACGATAGTAAACCTGTTATGACACCTGGACCAAAAACTCCAACAGGAAAAGTTTCATATGAAGAAAATTTACAAACGATAGGAGCCTTTAATAATGTACGTTATCTTTTATTCTTTCTTCCGGATAGGAAATAAAATAATTGGGATTTTTCACAATACTTATTATACTATTCTTTTCGTTTATTCATTCATTAATTAATTAGGTACAATTATTTTGTCGTTATTTTAATTGGGTAAAGAAACCTAGTAAGTTGGCAATGAACACAAACTTCCACATATTTAAAAATAAGATTAAACCAATGTGGGAAGATCCAGCTAATGCTAATGTGAGTTTTATGATATTAATTTAATTCAAGAATAAATAAATAAAAATATAGCAAAAAAAAAAAAATATCGAACAATTTACTAATAATATTTATCTAGGGCGGTAAATGGGTAATCTCAATAAAAAATCCTCAATTACTTGATCGTTGTTGGACATGGCTTGTTTATGCGCTTGTCGGAGAAGACTTGGATGAAGCCGATGATATTTGTGGAGCAGGTACATTTATCATTAATTAATGAAGCTGAAATTTGATTGTTTTTAAAGACAAGTTTTAATAATAATTTTTAAATGCTTTCTTTAGTGATGTCACGCAGAACTAGGGGGGATAGAATTGCTGTATGGGTTAGAGATAAAGATAATGTTCCTGTCATTAATGGCATTGGGTAAACATATATAAAATTGGTTCATCTATTTTTCATTTTATTTTATTGATTAATTAATTAATAATTTTTTAATAATAGTAAGAGATTGTTGAAGCTTCTTGATTTACAGAATGAAAAAGGAATAGTAATGGACTTTCAAGTAAACTTCATTTGTTATATATTGCTTGATTTATTTGTTAATTGACCATGACGATGATGACAAATTACATAAAATTTACATACTTTTATTTTAATTGTAAATAGTTTAATGAAGATGCTTTAAAATCAGGAACGTCATATAATAACCATGCATACTTATCGCTGGAAAATCTTAAGCAAGAATTGGAAGCTGCAGAAAAATTAAAAGAAAATAATAATAATACCTCAGAAGATAATATTAAGAAGAGTGAAAATGGTGAGAGTAGCACGATTGATGGAATTGCTAGTAATAATGATAAAGGAGAGATTGATAGTAATAATGATAAAGGAGAGATCCATAGTAATAAGGATAAAGGAGAGATTAGTAGTAATAATGATAGAGGAGAGATTAGTAGTAATAATGAAAATGATATCACTAACGATACAATCAATGCTACAAATACCAGTAGTAGTAGTAATACAACCAATTCTATTAGTAACAATAATAATACTGTTGCTGATGATAATTATAGTGAGACAGCTACAAGTGATAAAAATAATAATATAAATGATAAGATCGGTGATGATAAACCAAAAGAGCCAACAAGTTAAACAATAAAAATGACAATATATTCACACACATAACTGTATTAACCACATATAAATTTTTTTTGTATTTATTTTCTTTTCTCATAATTCCAAAAAAAAAAAATATCCATTTTTTAGCATATTTTCACTCGTATAGATTTTTTTTAATGTTAATTGTTATTATTATTAATTAATTTAAAATATTTAATTAAATTTTTTTTCTTCATTCAAATAAAATATTTGATTTTTTCAATGTATCACAACGTTGTCTTACCTTTAATATTTTTAATAATTTATTTTGTGCTGATATTTTTCAAGAAAAAAAAAAATAAAAAATATAAATAAATAAATAAATATATATATATACTACAATAAAAGTATATAAATTATATAGAAAAGAATAATACAATATAATAATAATCATCAGAACCATTTTGAAGTCAATTTTGGTGGTTAAAATAGCATTATAAAATAAGAAATTTTATTTTATGTGTGTAATATTATTCCCTTTCTCAGTTTTTAATCGTTATAACAAATTCTAAACTAATTTATTTTTATTTTTTTATAATAGTTTTCGGATTTTATAAGCATAATTCTTCCAAAAAAATTTAAATTATTATATATATATTTATATATATGTGCATGTATATATAAAAGTTTGCAATGAGTCAGTCGTTGATCAGTCAAGTTACTCCCGAGAATGAGAACACTCCGAATATAATAACGCAACCTTCAGAAACAAAGCGTTCTATTTCTACAAAGTTAGAAGGTAACGTGCGTCTGTCTAAATTTTTTTTTTACGAATGGATGTAATTCTATAAAAAAAATATGCGTTAAAAATAATAATAATAAATTAATTAATTATGTAATTAATATGTAAATATTATTAATAAGCTATATACTAATTCCGAGAAAAAATTAAAATTAGAGGAATAACAATACAAGATAATTTATTTAAATTCACTAATATATTAATTGATTAATTGTATAGATTCTACAATTCGATCTACAACACCTTCAAAAACCATACCAAATACAACTACTACGACAACCCTTGCTAATAGTACAAACACAAATAATAACAACACACCTTCAACTATTATTACCAACACTACAGCAACTCCTAAGTCAACATCTAATAATAATTCAAAAATTGCACGTTCTCAACGTTCAATTTTTTCTTTGATTTTTTGTTGTACGTGGAGTTCTAATAATATTATAATAAATCCTAATAATAATAATAACAATAACAATAATAGTCATCATATTAATACTATAAATACTAATACTAATATTAACAATAATACTAATAATGATCATGTTAATGATGATAAGGTAGAATGTAAAGAAAATATTAATAATACATCTAACAAAAATATTGACAATGACAAGAATAAGACTATCACAAATACGACATCCGAAACTAATAATAATAAAAATGTTATTACAAAAATTAGTAGTAATAGTCTTAATAATAATAGTGACAATAATAACAATGAAAAAATAAAAATTAGTCAAGATAATAAAAATAACATTGATAATAGTAACATTAGTAGTAATAACGATAGCAGTAATAATAGTAGTAGCGTTACTGATAACATTATTTCTAGTGTTGACAGTAGTAATAATAGTGGCAATAATAACGATGATAATGAGGTCAATATCAATGCACCAGATTCAGTAGAGGCTCGAAAAATAGAGGTAGGTATTAATCAAAAAAGCCCAATAATAATAATTATTATTATTGGCATTTAGATTTAATTATGATTATTATTAGATAAAATAAATAAGATTTTAATTTTTTTATTATGAATTTTAGGCTGGGCAAAAATGGTTACTTGAACCAATAGGCACTGAACACACAGGTAAAAAATGTTTAGTACTGGATTTGGATGAAACATTAGTACACAGTTCATTCAAGGTAATAATGGTGACGATAATAGATAATCAAGATGACTATTATTAACGTTATAGAAAATTAATTAATTAATTAATTATTATTATTATTAGATGATTAGCCATGCAGATTTTATTGTACCAGTTGAAATTGAAAATCAAATACACAATGTTTATGTAATTAAACGTCCCGGTGTTGATCAATTTTTGAAAAAAATGGGTGAATTATATGAAATTGTCGTTTTCACCGCAAGTTTATCAAAGGTTCGATTTTAAATAACTTCAAGGAATCAAATTTTTTTTGAAAATACTTATTTATATTTCACATTTATTGCTTGAATAAATCAACAGTACGCAGATCCAGTCCTTGACATTTTGGATATACATAAAGTAGTAAAACATCGATTATTCAGAGAATCATGTTATAATCATAAAGGAAATTATGTAAAAGTTAGTAATTATATTTATTATTGTTATTTATTATAATCTAAAATTTAAAATTTCTAAAATTTGTTTAATTAAATATTTTCAATTTCTAGGATCTTTCACAACTTGGTAGAGAACTAAGTGATACGATCATAATTGATAACTCACCTGCCAGTTACATCTTTCATCCAACAAACGCTGTTCCAATTTCATCATGGTTCAATGATCCACATGATACTGAACTATTAGATCTGATTCCATTCCTAGAAGATTTAACTATCGTAGATGATGTCATGGTTGTGTTGGACTCCTCTAGTAACCTACAACTACAAGACGACTTACTTGAGGAATAAATAGCGGTAGTAGTAATATACATAATTTATAATTTATAAGTATATAAATATATATATATATATATATAATATATAATATAGAATTTCATAAAATTTTGGTAATTTTAATACACTACAAGTTACATAAATAACTATCATATAGTAAATTATTAATTTTAATAATAGTAATCTTAATAATCCTAATAATCCTAATATATAGTAGTAATAGTAACCCTTAATCCTAATCTTAATAATGTTCATGTTTACTTACTACTTTCTTTTAATTCAAAATTTTGGTTTTGGAAGAAAAAGAGAAAATCTTGAATTATAAGTAAAGTTTTTGTAGAAATTTTTTTAAAAAATAAAAATTTTCATTTTTTCAAATTTTTTTTCTATAAATAAATTCACTCAACCCAATTCAATTCAAAATCAAATCAAATCAAATCATTTATTTATTTATTTATTTATTTATTTTTGCAAAAAATATATAGAGAACGTAATAAATAATAAATCAAGTACGATGGACATATTAATATGTGGCAGTGTCACCTTAAAAGACAGTTGTAAATTAAACAAGATTATCACATTTTTCTTTTTATTTTGTTCTATATATACATATACATATATTTTTTAAACAATTACCAACTACAATAAAAATAATCGCAAAAATAAAATAAAATAACAACTGACCGATAACGTTTGAATTTCATTCTCTTCATTAACAATAATTTAAAAGTATGACTTTATTACAAAAAGGTAATAGGAAAAGACGTTACAGTCAAAGTAGTGATGACGAAACTTCTCAAGACAGTAGTATTGGTAGCGGAGAAGTTAGTAATGATGATCATAATGTAAATAATGATAATAGCGCCTGTAGTGGAGACAGTGATAATCATAGTAGTGGCGATAATAAACGATTGATTAGTAGTGGTGGCAGTAGTGAGGATGAAAGGAATAGTGTTAGTAGCAGTGGTAGTAGTAATAATAGTAATAGACGAATAACTAGAAGTAGAAATATTAAAAATAACAGTAATAATAATAATAATAAAAGAAGAAAAAGAAGAAGCAGCAGTAGTGGTAGTAGTAGTGTTAATGGTAATGGTGATATTAGTAGTACTAATAGTGCTAGTAGTAACGACGGTAATGTGAGTGGTGATAGTAATGGAAGTGTAAATAGTAACGTTACTAGTAATAATAGTATTCACAGTAGTATAAATGTTAGTAGTGGAAGTAGAAGAAATAATATAAATAATAATTTTAATAATACAACTTCTACCCCCATTAATAATTCTACTGCCAGCAGCACTAACGATAACAACAACGACAATAATAGAGCAAAACGTATTTGTTCTACATCAACAACAAGTACCATTATTACAATCAAGATGACAACAATAACTCATACAGACATTCACAAAGTATCCACCACAAATACAACTGTCACAACTGAAATTTCACCTATTTCAACTGAAACGGTTGCAGACACTCAGTCATACAATATCCAAGCAACTGAAAATCAACCCTATGTACATTATAATCCTCCCAAGTCTTCATCTTCTTCTCAAGCACCATTAACAGCTACGAGAACTTCTCCGATCAACGACAATAACATTAATAAAAATATGGAGGATCCTATCAATCATAATCCTAATAATCCTAATTTAAATCCACCCATACCCACAACTTCAACTGATGACATTAATAATAACAGTAGCAGTACCAATAAGGGTAAAGCACCTGTATATTTAAATTCAAATGATGCCATTAATGGTAGTAATAATTGTAGTAGCGATGGCAATAATAATAAGGGAAAAGCGCCTATACTTTTAAATGCGAATGATGACATTAATGGTGGTGGCAGTAATAACAATAGTAATAATAATAATAATAATAATAATAACAACAACAATAATGTTAATAATAATAATAATAATAATAATAATAATGTTAACAACAACAACAATAATGTTAACAAGAATGATAATAATAATGTTAACAATCATAATAATAATGTTAATAATAATAATAATAATAATAATAATAATAATAATAATTTTAATGACTACCTATCAACAATATCAACGGCAACAACCACTGCAATTAATGCTTTTACTGCATCTACTAGTGGATCTACTACTTCCACTATTGCTACTGCTTCTACAAGTGCTGCTGCTTTTGCTGCCACTTCTACCGCTGCAGCTGTTTCTTATGCTCCTTATATTGCAAACTCTATTCAACGAATTGGTGGTGATCAATCTGCTACAAGAATTGCTCTCGAATCGATCTCTAGAAATCTTGCCACTTCTTCTTCAGCAACCACTCCCAGCGCAACAGCTAAATCATTAAATGATAATCCAGTTATATCCTCTCCACAATCAGGCTCTTCTCCAATTAATAATATCAGCATTAACAATCTCATCAATAGTAATAATAATAATAATCAAAATTCAAATTATTCACTTGTTAATCAAAACCAGACAATCAATTTAACATCTTCACCCTCGACAACAACTTCAACTTCTCCTCAAAACAAAATCCCTTCTATTAATAATATCATTCACAATAACAATGATCCATTAACATCTCCTTCAATCCCAAATCCAATTCCAAATATATTGTCACCAACTTTCGAGCAACGACTACCAATAACCGAACAGATGACAAATACATCAATATCAACACCTTCAAAAAGATCAGAGTTAATTAACACAACATCGTCGTCATTATATGAACAACCACAGCCACCATCATCTCCTTATGATATGTCCTCACCAATTTCTTCAAAAACAACAACGACACCACCTAGACAAAGCAACATTAGTATGTTGCTAAATAACAATAATACTGACTATCATAGTAGTGCTAAATCAACAAGTACTGCCACCATCTTTTCAAATGCTTCTGCTGTTTCTGCATCTAGTCCTCCAGTACTTGCTACTACTGTCAATATTGATAACAATACTAGAAACATATATGATGAGATAATTGATGAAATTAATCAAGTAAATAGTAATAATAATAATAATTATGATAATAATAGTGATTTTAGTAATAATATTAATATTGATGACGATAATAATAATTATGATGATGACGGTGATAATAATGATACGACTGAAATATTAAATAATAATAGTAATAGTAATATTGTAAAGGATGAGACAGGTAATAATGATATGGTACTTAAATTGGAAGCTGATCAAGCAAACAACTTTCAAGGATTATTAGAACAATCAACATCACCAACACAACAACGACGACAACAGCAACAATCACTAGCATTACCACCACAATCATCAACATCATCAGAAATAACGTATCATATTCTTCCAGACTTGGACACATTAGAATGTGTTGCAGATGTCTGGAATGAGTGGATGTCAGGTATAGATGGCTATCCATCCATTATAAAATCATTGGAGACTTATGATATGAGGTGGGCCAATGATAATAAAGAAACTTTGCTTTCACGAAAGAAAATCGTGAAAGAATTACAAGATCGATCGAGATCTGGATCTGTAGGGATCGATCAGGCAATTAGAGAGTTGGAAGTGATGAGAAACGGTAACCGTTTAACGTGGTTATCTAAAAAATTAAATATAAGAAAAAGGATAACTGGTCATGGTAGTAGTAGCAGTAATAGTAATAATAATGGAAGTGGCAATGGTAGTAATCGTAATGGTAACAACCATCCAGGATCATCATCATCATCATCATCACCGACAAAACGAGTTAATACTCGTAGCAATCGTACAAATAAAAAATCAAAATAAGAATTTAATATTTTTGATTCTTTTGATTTTTACGGATTTTAGTTTATTATTATATATTTAGGATTTTCTTTGCAAAATGGTTTTTTGCAAGATTATAATATAAATTAAAATATATTTTATTAATTACATTAAAAAATTTTTTGTACACAAAATAATCTATCATCAATACATTGATGAATCGTTTTGGTGAAGATTTAAACCGTTATATAAAATCGCTGTTGCCGTGGAAAAAGAATTTCTTTTTCATGGGATCGCAAGATGAGCAAAATTTGGAACCAGCCGAATAATATTATCTTTGACAAGTACAAATATTTTTTTTTACACATTTCATCTTTATCTTTTTTGATTAAAATATTTACACGCATAGAACTTTTTATTAATTCAAAATATTCTACAAATTTAGAATTCAATACTTTCTTTTTGCAAACTTTTTCAGAGCCAATTTTTCAATAAAAAAGCACTACACTCCAAAAATATCCGAACGAGGTTTTTTAATAATTACGCAAAATGCCACATAATAATAATGAAAGTACATAAGTTTATATCATTATATGGCTTAGGTTTGACGACTCTGCATATAAAACTCATTTTGTTACCATTCTTTTATGATTTTTAGTTAAAAAAGACGAATACTGGTTAAATTTTTATTTTAATATTCTGTTGGCCATCCGTTATTAGAAGTGCATACCTCAATCCTTCTTGATATAACACTCCGTGAGAAATTTTTGATCTTCGACTTTCAATGACTTCGGCGGTCATTTCTTAGTGTGCCTTTAAATCTTCTGCAGTCTGACAGCATCACAAACTGTAGTCTTTGGAGTATTAAGTGTTTTTGCGTTTTTTGCAAGAGAATTATCACCTATATTCTTAGACCTAAAATTTTTCCTCGGATAATTCTGAATTTTTATTTTTTTGCCATTTTTAAAAATCGATTTTTTTTTGATTAAATCAAATTCTCAGTATTGGTTGAACGTAAGGTTTCACTCGTTTATTTAAGATATAAAATTTTTGAGAAACATAAAAAATAAATCCGTGATTTTATATGTAAAGTCGTCAAAACTTAAGTCATAAGTTTTTTTTTAAAAAAATAAAAAGTTTATTTATTTATTTTATTAATAATTATGTGTAATTATTAAAAAACCTTGTTCGAATGCTTTTTGGAAGGTAATATTATATTTATTAGTCAATTTATTTTCTGCAAATTCGAGTTCAGCTCGTCCGCAGCTTTAATCATCAAACTTATAAATATTTTGTATTTTTTAATTGTTTTCTCCGAGACTCTTCAATTCCGAGTTAAATTATTAATTGCTGTAGTTAATGCTTTCTGTTTTAATCGTTAAATTCGTAGTCAAATGGTTATGGTGGCAGCAAGCTGTGGTCATTGTTTTATTTTCAATGCTGATGTTTGTATTATTCATGTTGATACGAGTAATGTATGGATTAAATGGAAGTTGAAATCGTATTTGAAGTCTGTGTTAATTGTCATTGTTGTGTAAATAAAATTTGTTTAGAAACTAAGAGTAAAAAACCAAGGATGGTAAATCCCAGAATAAAAGATGGGATTTAAGTTGGGGTTAAATTCGTCGTTCTGTTTGTTTTAACGATTAATTATAGCTGAAAGACAGCAACTTTATAATTATCAGGATACTATTCATCACGACACTATTAAACCACTATAGACCAATTATTTATTTAAAGGTTATGAATAAAAAATCCATTTTCGAAATATTATTATTTAGGAAGCAAAAAATCCTTCCTTGCAATTCATTTTTTTTTCTATACTTTTTTTGTGGAAGGTTTTCCAGAAAAATAAATATTGAACAATGTTAATTTTATAATATGAAGATAAAGATTGTTATGGGATCATAATTTTGTCGTGGCCTCGGAAATTTTTACCTTAGCTAGTTGAGAATATCTTCTTATTCTTGACGTTTCTCAATTAAAAGTTCCTGAAATCCTGGTCATAATAATAAAATGAATAATCGAACATCCGTAGATACAGTTTATTGACACTGATTGTAGTCCCTTATGGCAAAGGAAGATTCAAAAACCAGTAGGCCTTGATCTTAATTTTCGAATACAATAAGATGGTTCGGCTCATTAAAAAAAACAGTCATAAAATTGATATTATCTTCCGTGTGGATGGATGATTTGGAGAAGAAACATTTCACAGACGAAGATACTAAAAGCTTGAAGAAACCCATATAAGTTTCTTCTTCTCCAGGGGCTGTTCAATTGTTTTAAATTATCTTCCGGAAGGAAGTTCATAATTAATGATCAAAAAAAAAAAAATCCAACAAAATGAACTCAAAATGCTTGAATCCATACATTAAATCATGTCAAAGATCCCAATATTCTTTTGTATAATAAATAACATATGGGACATGCTGCAACAAAGCAATTCTGCAACTTTTTTAACCCATTGTACCATTAACAGCCCAAAAAACATACATATAAAATAAATGTATAATTAATCCAAAAATATAAGTTCATATTAAGCTTACCTCTTTTTTGGTCATTTTATTTTAAATAGTTTACTATATATCAATCATTTACTATGTAGAGGAAATAATATAAGAAATTGTCAGCATTCCTATAATAAAATTTCAATCACAATGAGTTTTAACACAATTCAGTGATGAATAGACTTTTATGTGAAAATTAACAATGACTAAATATATCATCAGATTTTTAATCCAATCATTTAAAAGCTTACTATATAATATATTTTAATGGCAGAGCAATAATGATTATTTATTTTAAGTTTAAATTGGCCAATTGAATCAGACATAATTACAATAACCTTTTATATATATTAAAATAAAAAATAAATTTAATTGCAGAAATTAAAATATAAAAATCATTAATTTTTCTTTACTATTTTATATACTTCAAATTCTTCCAATAAATGAACATCCTTATTACTATTCCTAAGATTTAAATTATTTTCATAAGAATAATTAGAAAAATAATAATAACAATAAGGTTGATTATTAATACTAATGAATAGGTGTAAATCATGAAAACTTATAGAATTTTCATAAAATTTTATATTGTCTAAATCCCTATCAATGGTTTGTCTACTATGAAATATTGCATGCTCAGGATTTTTGACTCTACTTAATATTGAATTACCAAGTTGATTTTCATCAATCTTAAAAATAAAACTTTTATCTGTTTCAATAAAATACCTTTCATTTGGTGTTTTTTTGTTTATATTCCAACAAACAGGATTATATCCACCTATCAATTCACCCGTTTCTTTAATTTTAAGTAATACTACAGTTTGTTCAATGTTATAGCACATCTCCTCAAAAACTGCTCTTGAAAAGCCATCTTGAGATCCACAAAGGATCAATTCAAAATCATATGGATTATTATTTTCATTATTTTGATTAATCCAGCTAGAAATTAAAGGGCTCATTTTCAAATTTAATAATTTTTTTGTTCTTGGGCCTCTTTGAAGAAGTAACTTTGGCTGCCACTTTTTAGTAAAATAATATCCATGAATTTCT